ATGCAGGTAGCAGACCTGTGAGACGGCAAAGGGAGTTTACCCAATGGTCCATTGGATCCAGTGGATCCATTGGACAGGCATATGTCCAATGGACATTTCAGCTGTCCATTGGATCCAATGGACATAGCTATGTCCAGTGGACATTTGATTTTGTCCATTGGATCCAATGGACAGGCATATGTCCAGTCGACCCCATGCAGGTAGCAGGCCTGTGAGATGGCAAAGGGAGTATGTCCAGTGTTCCATTGGATCCAATGGATCCATTGGACATGCATATGTCCACTGGACATTTGATTTGTCCATTGGATCCAATTGGACAGGCATATGTCCAGTGGACATTTGGTTGTGCGGTAAATAAGTTAACTCGAATGACGTCATTGGTTGACATCGACCCCATGCAGGTAGCAGGCCTGTGAGATGGCAAGGGGAGTATGTCCAATGGTCCATTGGATCCAATGGATCCATTGAACAGGCGTATGTCCAATGGACATTTCAGTTGTCCATTGGATCCAATGGATATAGATATGTCTAGTGGACATTAGAGTTGTCTATCGGATCCAATGGAATACGCATATGTCCAATGGACATTTGAATTGTCCGTTTGATGTATAATTGTCAGGCATATATGCAATGTGTAAATTATTTGTATGCCATTTGATAGTTACAGTTTAATGGGCCTATTAAGTACTAGTTAAAACATGAGCAGTCGATCTTTATCTGATATAGAAGTGCTTAAATAACGACCCATCTTATGAGTTCATTGACGAAGTAATTTTAAAAATAAACATTGTCTAAGGCGCAAAAATCAAAGCTAAAGTTTATGTAAATCAGGACCGAATATTTATCCGATTTACAAACATTGATTAAACATTCACTTATTTTTTAAGGAATTATAAGATATTCAATATACAATAATCGATCAGTTGGTTTATTCTGACAATTCTGTATGCGACCATTTCAGGACTGGTGTTTCTTTAGTAAGGAATCGTCTGAGAAGCGAAATACTTTTAAGCGCGTCGGTTGCCAGTTTTAATCGCAATTCTGAACAGTGTAGCGAAGAATGCCCTCTTGAGTGCAAGATGCTGTTCAGAGTTCATTTCAGTCCTGAATGTTAAAATTATTATACAGTAGGTGAATTAATTTTGTAACTTATAAGATATGAAACTCTGTTTCACATTTATTTGTATGCTTACTGTTTAATTAATTTACTTGCTGACGCAGCGAGCGAGCCTGAAGCGAGCGAGCAAGTCAGCAGTTCTAATTCCTATTGGGCTCTTGAAAGTAAGATTTTACTTCCGTTTCTCCGACCAGAATGCACTGCTGTTAACCGACCAGAATTCATCGCTGTTAACCGACCAGAATGCTTTGCATGTACTACGATGCTATAAATGCAGTTGTTTTGGTGTATTTTGTATTCATTGTATGGTCTGTTGATTTCTGTCTGGTCTTGCACTAAATATACTGAATTTGCTTATTGCAAACAATTTATAACGCTTGGACAGCGATATTTCTGTGTTTTTCTGTGTTTGTGTTCTTCGCCTTGATCTTGTTTTCTCTTTTCTAATATCATTATGTACTTAGCACTAATAGTAAAATCAACATTGTAATTGCACGCCAGCTCAAAGCGTTCTTTCAAGCGTTAAAAGCGAACCAATTTCATCTCAATTCTTGTCGATCAGTTTGGTATAATTCATACAGGGTTTCGTCTGTTAATTTTTGTTTGAATTGAATAATTATGAAATAAAACATGATGAAACAAAGTGATTTCTTTTTGCAGTAATAAATTTACGTGGTGTTTCCACAAACAAAAACAATTATATTTTATCGCCATGCAAACATTCAAAGAACTTATGAATAATTATGACTTGACTATAAGGTAATTGACACGGAGACGTGGCATCAACAGTTCGGCAACTGCCAACAATGACTATACTGTAGAGTATAGTATGGCATTTTGAAAGAATGATGCTTTGCATGCTTTTTCATGACATGGGTTAATTAATTAAATGTACTTTTGCCTGCCAAATAGCATGGTACACTATGTCTATACTGTATATGATGTATAAAAAAATACGCAACCTCGGAATTTTCCAAGAAATCGACATTGTTTTAAAGACAAAAGATTTTAGGCGCCTGGGAATTTAAAATAGCACAGCTGTCAAAATTACTTATCGATTTCAATTCCCAGTGGCGTAAAATCTTTTATGCTTAAGAATTGCAAAGTGATTTCTTAGGAAATTCCGAGGTTGCGTTTTTTTATACACCCTGTATGCTGTATACCATATGATGTTACGCTTAAGCATGCAACACAACCAGGGGGATGTCAGTGGGATTGAAGCATGCGCATGGAATACTTTTTATCATTGGCCATGTTTTTGTTATGTTAGGCCTGTTTCAAACGTCGCGCTTCTCATGTGCCGAACTAGAAACAATAGATAATGAAGCATTTCAGCTGGTTATCTATTGTTTTTAATGCGTTCGGCACATGAAAAGCGCGACGTTTGAAACAGGCCTAAAGCCGGTTTTCCACTAGCGAATTTGTTCGCGCGAACCCTTTGTATTATGAGCTCTCGGCTGGAACTAATTAGATTTTTAATCAATTCTTTTCTATTTAAACAATAGAAAATTCGCTTCGCGCGAAGAAATTCGTTAGTGGAAAACCGGCTTAAGGCTAAGGCATGTGTCGAATGTAGTTTTGGAATTAACGTGGCTTTAAGTTTACGTCCTTGGATGCAACTTTTGCTCTATGTTGTTCGGTATTCAGTTCTTAAACGACTTCGCATCAGTAAATTCAAAAGAAAGGCAATTTGCCGGCGGCGAAGAATTGCATTCAACTGAAGCAAAGCAAAACATCAGCTATATAAGCACTTTACTTTAGCCTGGTTCACACATGCCTGTGGTATTCCGGCGCTATTATTGTTCACAGCTTTAATACATTCTCAGTTTGTTTACATATATTGGCATACAATAAATTTTCAGTTTCTGAATTATTTGGCCGAACTGCTATTAATAACAATAGCCCGCCGACGGTAAACAGGGTACTGTGACAGGGTGTCCCAAAAAACCCAAAAACTATTGAAATAATGTATTGTCAGAATTTGAATGCCCCCTAGCACTAAGCTGAACGCAAAGATGCGTAACATATTGACATGGTGCATATATTATATTAAATATTGATTTATTAAGAAATTAAAATATCTTTGTAAAGCGCACGATTTTCTGCTCTTGGGAATTTAAAGCTGCTTTAAGCCCGCCGCACACGAGAGCAACTTGCTGAGCTAACCGCCTAGAGTGGCAGCTAGCTCAGCTATGTATTTTCACCGCACACGTTGGGAAAATTACTCAACAACAACATAATTAACAAAATTAATTGCATTTTCCTCCATTTTGTTCCATGTCACATGAAGAAACTATGGGTTGTCATTGGCTAATTGATTCAAACAGCTCAGCACTTAGCTCACAATATCCGCAGACGCTGAGATTTTTTCCTCGCGAGGTGAAAAATATCAAACACGATAGATATTTTCCTCAAGGCCTCGAGAGGTCAAATCCTCACGAAAACTATCCGCACACGAGAGCTACTTGCTGAGCTAACCGCCTCGCGAGGCGGTTAGCTCAGCAGGTTGCTCTCGTGTGCGGCGGGCTTAAACAGTTTCCTTGTGCATAAAATTTACTTATGTCAAGCTTTTATGCACTTGTTTATTTATTTATTTATTTATTTATTTATTTAATAACTTTGCCAGATTTAAACAACGTTAACACAAAAAACTGGCAGGGCAATCGCAACAGCTTGCGCCAATTACTGTGATCTCCAGAACTTGTGGGTTCAGCAGAGTGCTGAGGCATTCAAATTCTAACAATGATACGATATATTTCAATCGTTTGGGGTTTTTTTTGGGACACCATGTATGTAGATCATCAGGCTTTTACGTATAAGTACTACTAGTTAAAACATGAGCAGTCCGTGCTTTAAGGCCGTTTTCCACTAGGCGGAATTTTGCGCGTGGAGCGGAATGTTTCTCTGTCTTGTGATTTCTCGTGGGCGGAATTTAGAAACCAGGCTTTATCAGATATAAAACACTCCAGCTGCGCTCTCATTTTTTAAATCTCATGATAAAGCACTCGCTGCTCGTGTTTTCGATAGTGCATACCGCACTCAATGTACAGTTGCGATCTTGTGATTGTTTGAAGTAATGTTTATGCATGTGTTACGAAAGTATATCTAAATAGTATAAAAATAGTTCAATTTGCACCCCAGGTAATTATAAATACTTGTTACGTCAAATGGAGAGATAATGAGCATTTTTGCTGTAAAACTCAGATAAAGTATATATCATTTCGGACTTGCGTAAAAGTGTCAATTATCTGTCCATTAGGCAAGATAAATAATTTGTCAATTTGTCAAAGTTGGACGATAACCTTGCATGGTGGGCTGTTGTGTTTACATAATTCAAAGTCCAAGGCTGGTTCTTCTTTGACATGAAAATGTGCATGCTTAGGGCATTTCTGTCAATCATTCTTCGGTATATTTCGCGCGGTTGAGTAATGATAACATTACGTCATCAAAATCTTGGTTCAATAAAATTGTAAGTAAATTTAGTTTAGTAGGTAAAGTAAGGTTCACATAGGTATAGTTTGAAGTTTTTACTATGATATTTTGATAAGTATTTTAAGTTGTGAACATGTTTTAATGATGATCGATTGAACAGCGAACCAACTCGACCAGTGCGACAACGCCTTAAATAAACAGAATTTGAGGGCTGGAACGAGCTAGCAACGCCAACCCACACTTTTAAACCTCAACGTTGATTGGCTGGATACAAATCACACCACTTGCTACATCACGTGTACAAAGATCCCTCAACCGTTAGTATAAAAGGGCGTGACAACCCAAATTCGTCAGTGGACGTACGCTGAATAAAGCTTAAGTGATGAAAAGCTACTGAAGCTCAGACGAAACTAGACAACGACAAAGAAAAAAACGAACAGTGAACAAACGAAAGAGGCTGAAGAAAGAAGATAACTTTGAAAAGGAACGATTTCAATATTAACATTAGTAACAATAATTACAAAAGTTGTATAACGATTCGCTGCCTAAATAAAGCCTCGTAACACGTTTTTACATTTGTACTTGTGGACCAGTAAATTTATACATTCGCGTCGCAAGTAGAGCTGCTCCCATCGGTTCATTTTCATGATCGACTAATATCGATTAGTCGTATATTGATTTTAATTCACTTAAATTTGACATGTGCCTCCTTGTTTACTCAAAGGCATAAATTGCGCACATTCTCGCGCACGGAGAGTTCACACAAGTAGACAACTGACAAGAAAATGACGATGTTTAGTTTATGTTCTGAAACTTCGAAATGATACTGTAAAGACCCAGACACAGCGAATCCGATTTCGCAACGCGATTCAATTTTCAGAACTGAGTTGGTAAAACCGTCTATGGAAAGAAATATTACTCAAAATGTTGTGGCGCTACTAAATATCTGAAAAACCTATATCAGCATCAGAATTATCGGAAAGGAATTAAATAGGCCTACTGACGAATCTATCATGCTGTGCGGCGTTGTTTATCATTCCGATTATTATTAAGAGGCAATTGTTGCGTATTTTCGATGCAAAGTGTTCAAAATCTAAAATCTTTTTGGCGTTCCTCTTAAAATTACTATGTTTTAGCTTTATTTTATATAGCTTACACACTTAGCAATCCTCTTAAATGTATCTGGCGGTTGAGAAACACAAAATAATAGTTAAATATTGTCTATTTAGACATCATTTTCTGTTTAGCGTACCATCTAAAATCTCTTCATTTTAGCATTATCTTACAGATAAAGCACTAAACATACTTTATAAGTTTGTTTGCCGCTCGAACAACGTGTCAATATTCAGTTTAAAAAAATTGAATATACTTATAACCAAGTGGAAAAGTATATTTATTAGTTTTGAGCGCGTGTTACGTAACATACAAAACATTCTCCTCTTAAATATAATCGATTGCGAAAAAAATTATCGATTAATCGATCAATCGATTAATTAGGAGCAGCCTTAATCGCAATGTAGTAAGATTTATGTTATTTACAGTTACGTTATTTACAGCCTGTCCAACCTCACAAATGGAGGCTTTCCAATACTTCTGTGACCGGTAAATGTCCCGGGTTGATTTCCAATAAAGAAACAAATATCTCCGCGGCTTTTTCTTTGTTTCCAACTAGTTTGTTGGCATATCCTACAATAGACAGAGCCAGAGAAGTCTTTGGAGTACATTGAAAGTTACGTTTAACATAATTCTCCAATCGAAGCGCAACTTCTTGGGATTTTCCCACTTCATTCAATTTCATATACGTTAAAATTAACTCGTAGAAAGCGTGAACTGTCAATGGGATGGTAATACTGCCACTAGCTTCAATTTCACGACGAAGGTAAACGTCTAACAACGGCTTGGCTACGTCCGTACAGCCCAGCATAGCTGAGTTATCGGCTCTTTGAATAACATTTTCAAAATGTTCAACAGCTTCATGATAACGTTCCAATTTCAACAAAAGTGACCCAAACGAGCATTCTACAAATGGTATCAATTCGGCAGTCTTTTGAAGCAGTTTCTGGAACAAATTAAGAGCAAGGTTCATCTGCCGTTCGCAGAAATCTTGGTTTTTTATGTCAACTGCTAACGCTTTTGATTGATAAAGCCCTGCCAGAGTTGCCACAAGGCTTTGGTCAAGGGTCAAATCTTCATCCAGTTCAAGGCATCGTTCATAACACTGAATTGCACCATCAAGATTCCCTCTTTCGAATGCCATTATCTTTCCCAACGAACGGAAAATGTAATGTTGATTTGCAAAAGAATATCCTGCAAGGGTTGCGCATTGGGCATGAAAGGGCTTGTCCAGAAATCCCTCTTTAGTTTGAAACACTCTAAGAAATGCGAGGAAGTATAACTGTGATTCATTTCCTCTATCCATTTCCACTAATTCATTTCCAGCTAGGTGCAAGCATGAAATTACCATTTCGATCAAGTCGGGTGATTGCGTCTCGTTCGTGTAGTATTTTAGTGCAAAGGTGTACTCCTTAAGCACTTAATACAATTTGAAAATATTTGCTGGAGATAACGGAAATTCACAATTCTGAAGTTGCTTCGGTCTTCGTCACTCAAAAGAGACAACAACTCGCGATGACAGGCCTCGATAAGGTATGGGATACTGGAAGGACGTTTCCCGTGAATTGCATCATGAACAACTACTGGGTTAGCTGTCAGCATCTCGCACGCAGCTACTGCTTCTCTTCTCTTTCCCACTCCAACAAACACTCGGACCATTGTGCAGTACATACAATGTTCAACAGTT